GCAAAAGAGCAGTAGGAGAGAAAATGCTCAAACAAAGCAATACAAGACAAAAAAAAATCTACAAAAACACCGTTGAGTTCATTTTGTGTTTGCTACCCTTAAGTACGGCTTATGTATCCAATGAGACGACATTGGGGAACTAGTTTAGCTATTGGTTGGAGACAGCTTATTGGGTAGGGGCGGGGGATGGCGTTGACTTCCGCTCTCAGGTCTGGGACCCCTTCTAGCTTGGCCCTGTGCAGGCTCTGTGCGTGCTGCCACAGCCTCTGTGAGTTCATGTGTTGGTACCTTTCTCTTCTGCAGTCACAGACCCTCTGTCACCATCCAGCTCTCCCCAGAGCCTTCTCATATTTCCAGGCGCACAGGCATCACTTCTCTTGCCTGTGATGCGCTTAGGTGTTTTCACATTTTTGGATGGTCCCCAGGCAGCCAGCTCAGTCCTTATTTGTCTTAGCATCACAGTGCTGTGTTGAATGTCTGTGTGCCCTCCAGATTTGTATATTGAAAGCTTAGCCTCTCGTGTGATGGACAGAGGGTGTTAGGAAGCAGTTAGCTCATGAAGACGGAGCCTTTGTGTGTGGGATTAGTGTCCTTAGAAGTGGGATATCGGGCTCGTTCGCTCAGGCCCTCGCGCCTCTATAGTATAAACATCAGACAGCCACTCCGGCAGTGATTTTCTGCTCTCTGTTTCATTTTGTCAGAAGTTTAAATCCTCAGCTGTTTTAAAGGACTGCAGGGAACAGTCAAGATGTGAAGGGAGTATTTTTTTTGAAGCCTCTTTTCAGAACTGTGGCTGTCACTCTCTTGCTAAAAAGACTGAGTCACCGGTATACAATGTCAGTCCAGACAGACGCTAAGGATGATGGGCAGCGGTACTTGGTTAGAGGTAACATGCAAATTCGGAGACAGGCATTTTGCAAAGAAATTTTCCAGCCTTACTTTCATTCCCATGTTGCAGAAACAGATGCACATTGTTTAATTGTGATTTGCTTTATTATGAATCATAGGCACTGTGTTTTTATAAACTGAACTTGACATGAGTTTATAAGCATTTTTCCCCCTCAATGCTCTGATGACCCTTCCTAGCATTTGACAATAAAGTATTCTTAAAGTAAGATATGCACTTTTTTAGGCTTGGTGCTATTGTCTACGGCCATATGAATGCGTTACCTGCCATATAGCATATGTAAATTTTATTTGCCTTGGGAAACACACACACCTAAAAATGTGTGCCTTGCTTTCCTGTGGTTTCTGCTCTAGTGGGATGGGCTGGTACGGAAGCCCAGCATCTCCCAGGCATATCTTTGATGACAGCCTAAACCTCACGGTGGGGTAGAGGGACCACAGCACACAGAGGCTATGACAGTTTTATTGAGAGCAATCAGACTTTTTATACCTTTACCAGAAACAGGTTACAATGGCAGTTGCCAAGATCAATACAGCTGTAGTTGCCAGGATACAGTGAAGTTTGCCAGCCATACAGGGTACACGAGATAATGTCTAAAACCAATTGTCCTGTCAAGCTTTTGTGCTTCCTTGACTACTAAGGGAACACAAAGAGACACACAGTGGCCTGAACATTTTACTGCCTGAGGGAGTACTTCTGTCTCTCAGAGACTGGGAGGTACACTGTGTGCCAGGAACCGTGGACTCTAACCTGAAAAACCCATGATACATGTCTCTCAAGGCAGCTAGAACAAGGCAACACTGTGGTTTTCTGCAGAAGGGGAGATTCAGAATTCTAGAAAAGTCAACATTTCACTTCTCAACACCACAACACAATCAGATAATAGAAGAGAGTGGTCTATAAAGGGTCAACCACATAAGCATATAGGGTTGGTTACTTTTCAGCTTCTTGCTACCACAACTCTTAAAATACCACTACTGTATTTAAAGTTGTGAAAAGTAGACAGGGAATAGTAAAATTAGTATCCATTTCATCATCTATATAAAATGATTGTTAATATATTGCCATATGTATTGAACTTCTTTTTATTTTGCTTGAAAGATTTTTTTTTTGAAACACAACCTCACTGTGTAGTCTTTGCTGGACTAGAATGTGTGGTCATCCTCCTGTCTCTGTACCCCCCCCCCCCACACACTTGGATTCAGGCCTTAGTTATTGCTACCAGGCCCTGCTTTGCTGGAAGTATGGATGTAAAGACATAACTTTTTGTTATTGCTGTTTTTTTTTTTTTTTTTTTTTTTTTTTTTTTTGTGGTAAGGTCTCACATGGCCCAAGGTTGGTTACAAATGTACTATGAGTTGATGATGACTTGAACTTCTGACCCTCCTGTCTCTATTCTAAGTTTACAGGCATGTGCCACCTGCCTGTTTAATATGGTGCTGGAGAGTAAACCCAGCTTTATTCATGCCTGCTGTGGTGGTTTGACAGAAAATGGCCTCCAAAGGGGGCGGTGCTCTTAGGAGGTGTGGCTTTGTTGGAGGAAGTGTGTCACCATGTGGTTGGGCTTTGAAGCTTGCTGTAGTCAGGATGTCACACAGTGTGACTGTCAGTTGTCTTCCTGCTGCCCACAAGAGGTAGGACCCTCAGCTATTTCTACAGCACCATGCCTGCCTGCATGCCACCATTTTCCCCACCATGATGGACTGAACTCTGAACTGTAAGCGAGCCACCACATTTAAATGTCTCCTTTTTTAAGGGCTGCTGTGGTCACGGTGTCTCTTCACAGCAATAGTAACCCTAAGATGCAGTGTGATGTTTTTTGCTCCTTTTGGGGGTCCTGTCACCCAGCTCCCAAATAAATCATACATGAAGGCTTATTCTTAGCTATGAATGCTCGGCCTTAGCTTGGCTTGTTTCTTGCCAGTTTTTCTTGACTTAAATTATCCTGACTATCTTTTGCCCTGAACTTTTTCATTTTCTTACTTTTGTACATCTTACTTTCACTCTTACTCTAAGGCTAGCTGGGTGGCTGGCCCCTGACATCCTTCTCCCCTTGTTCTCTCGTTGTTCCTCCTCTTTCTTCTTTCTCTTTCTATTTGTACTTTCTGCCCACCAGCCCTGCCTATCCTTGCTCCTGCCTAGCTATTGGCCATTCAGCTGTCTATTAGGACCATCAGGTGTTTTAGGCAGGCAAAGAATCACAGCTTCACACAAATGCAGCAAAGACAAAAGTCACACACCTTAAAATAGTATTCCCCAGCACTAAGACACCTGGTGAACACTTTGGAGCTAAGCCACATCCTCTGCACTGAAGACATTCTGTTTTAATTCTTCTAAGCATGCATCTTTTGAGAAACTACTCACTACTTTATGTAAGTATTGTTTTGTCTGCTTGTGTATTTGTATTCCCTGTATGCTTGGTGTCCATGGAAATCCAAAGAGGTATAGGATCCCCTGGTTCTGGAGTTATAGGTGGTTGTGAGGCATCATGTATGTGCTGGGATCACAGTCATGTGTTGCCACACCTGGTTCACACTATCATTTTAACCTAACAAAGTAAATAATAATTTCCTACTCTCAGCCAACACTTAGTCTGTGTGGTTTCCAACAACCTTTCTAAGCTTGGGCATCTTTGATTGTGAAAATTAATGTTCCTTTCAGAATAGAAACTGAAGGAAGTAGATGGAGTATAAAAAATTTCTGTTTTAAGTGTGCAAACTATAAAAGAGAATGCTCCCTTTTGATGAAGAAATTAGAAATCAGAATCTCTTATCAGAGCAGTAGCTCTCTACACTTTAGGAAAACCAAAAAGTAGAATTTAGCCTAAATCATGAGCAGAGAATCAAGATCGGGGGAGTTTGAAAGTAGAAATAGAAAGGGAAGTTAGATTCTGGGTGCCTTGGACAAGGATGGGAGGCAATTGCCATTTGCTTGCCCACGTCTGGCTTAGCACCTAGCATGGTTTGAGGGGAAGGGACAGATCTGGGTTCAGATTCCAGTTCCTCTTCTGTGGCTGCATGGCCTTGGCGGGGGGGGGGGGGGGGTAAACATGCCAAGTTTCATTATGTGTGTATAATGGTGTGTGTGCGCGTATGTGTGTGTACACATGTTCACATGCATGTGTATGTGTGTGCATGTATGTGGTGGGCAGTCACAGCTGTCCGTAGGTTAGAGGATAACTTTTAGGAACTGATTCTTCTGCTGTGGGCTCTGAGGATGGAATTCAGGTTATCTGGTTTGTGAGGCAAATGCTTCTACCTGCTAAGTCACCTTATCAACTCTGGACATTCTAAATTTTAGCTTTCTTTTGTAAAAAGTACTTATAATTTGGCCAACTGTCCGTGGTTGTTTTAGGCATTAGAGCTATTGACTGGGTATTGCAGACACACCTCCGAGAGAGCATACTACCACTGTGGTATTTTATCCCCCATAGTTCGCATGTCGTCCTCACCTATTGACGAGGACTTCTCAGAGACAATGAAGCCTAAACTATCATCTCCTACAGCGGAATAAATATAGGAGGATAGGGATTTACACAAGACAGAGGTTTTCAAGCAAAGGAAATCTCTGCTGATTCCCGTTCATCTCCTGATCCTTGTGGTTCACCGACAAGTTCTGCAGCTCTACCAAGGCTGAAGCCTCTCCCTAACAGATCCTTCCAAAGATCTGTGAGGGTTCACATTTTACTGGCCCTGCTTCCCACGTGGCCAGAGGATTGTAGCAACCAGCACCCTCAAGTCAACTTCAGAGAGAGAAGCATTTTCTCAACTGCCTTGGGATCCACAGGATTTTTTGCTAAGCAAACCCATTCCTGTAGCATTGAAACAGCAAGAGATGATTGTTTTCCAGCAGAGAGCTTTCACTAGAGCAGTTGGCAGGCTTTTGTCATGGCTCAGGGAGTTGCCAGGAGACACTAAAGGCTGTGAATTAGGCTGTCTTCTCTCTAGAGCCACAGTCTTGTTTTCAGATTTCAGCTTACATGAGAACAGCCTGGTATTTAACTCAGGTTTCCAGGTTTGGAAACAGTGGTTTTTAGTAAGCGGTGTAGGTGACACTTTTGCATAGAAGCTGTCTTAGTTAAGGTTTTGTAAGACTTTAAGACAATCCTGAAGCCATTTTTGACAATTCTGAATCCTCTCAGCCTCTGTGCCATAGTGCTTCCCCTCCTCCCCTGGGAACCAAGGACCTAACAGCTACACTCGCATGTAGTCAGTTCCTGAACAATTACCCATATACGTATGCTTTGGTTCGGTCCCCTGGGAAAAGGGGTCAAAATGACCTCTTACCTCATCTGATCTGGCAACAGCTCTCCAGTCAATTATTGGTAATAGCCCTTTCAAATAAGCCAATCAGAATAGTCAAAGAACAACCCCCCTTGCTTCTGTGGCCCCTTTAAAAGTAGACTGTACCCGCTACTCGAGGTCCCTCGGCTTCCCGAATGCTGGGAGACCCTGTCATGACAGAATTAATAAAATCCTCATGCTTTTGCATCGGCTGTGGTGTGTGGTCTCTGGGGACGACTCCTTCTCGGTGTTTGGAGTCCAACATTTGGTTTCCTGACCGGGAATCGAGTCGCTCCCAGACACACTCTAGACCCAGTTGGAGGTATAAAGAAACGAGCTCATTTTTATGTCTGTCTGTTTGTCTGTTTCTGTGTAATTGTGAATTAGTAATCTGAGAATTGTACCTGCGCAGGGCTAATATTTGAAGGGGACCAGGCAGTGGGACAGACGTGTCCGGGAACACTCCCTGGCCCAGCCGTGGAGGACGCTTCACTGGCAATTTGTGAAACTAGGAGCGACTAGGTCATCTTAGTTTCTAGGGCGTGTGGCCCTTATCGCCCACTCCCTTCCAGGTTCGTATCAGTTTGTTGCTGCGCGGCTTCTGATTTTGAGTCTATGTCTGTCTTTTTGTTCTTGTGTATTTTCAGTTCTACACCAGAGTGGTGGTGAGAGCACCAGCTTCTAGTTTTGAGTTTATGTCTGTCTCTTTGTATTTTTTGTTTTTTGTATGTCGGTTTGTCTTTGTTAAAATCCACCTGCAGGAATTCAGAACCTGGCACCGGCCCCCTGGCCATCATCAGTTTCCCTGATTCCTAAAGCAGCCCCACTGCTGGAGGAGATGGTGGCTGCCCCTCCCCAAGCCCTTTGTCTTCTCTCTTTCCTGTACAGGAGCAAAAGAAACCCAGAATCCAGGCACCTCTGGTTCTTCCTGATATCCAGCCGAGCATGACAGACTTCTCCCTCCTCCTCCCCGGGAGGAAGCACTTCGTTCCTGAGGAGCCCCGCTGGTCGGGCCCTAGCCCTGAAAACTTCAATACTCAGCATCTACACTGGGACAGGGGAAGAATAAAAATGACTTCCCAAACATTTCCCCTTCACTCAGTAGCAGGCCAGTTACAATACTGCCTTTTTCTGCTTCAAATCTTTACTTACAACCCTTCCTTTTCTCGGGACCTTCAGGCCGTGACCGGGTTTACAGAATCTGTTCTGGTTATTCATCAGCCCACTTGGGATGATTGCCAGCAGCTCTTACAGGTGCTCCTAACTACAGAGACAAAAAAGAATGTCCCAGGAGCTGACAGCAGGCCAACCCAATCACTGGACAAGAAAGAGGATGGGACTTCAATACTCCAGCTGGTAGGGAGCAGCTCCATCTTTATTGCCAGAGTCCAGTTGGCGGGTCTAAAAAAAGGAGGAGGGGGGGTTGCAAAGCACCCCACTAATTTGCTAATTTGGCTAAGGTAAGAGCAAAGGTCTGACAGTACTCCTACAGGATTTTTAGAAAGATTATTAGAGCGGTACAAGATGTAAACCCATTTTAATCCCATGGCAGCAGATCGCCAAGCCAATGTAGTGATGTATTTTATAGGCCAGTTAGCATCAGACAGCAAGTTGCAGAGAATGGAGGGACTGCAGAGATGCTCCCTCCAGGACTTAGTAAAAAAAAAAAAATAGACAGATAGGGAGGCAACAGAAGACGACAGCTGCAGAGATTGCCCGCCTCAGACAGAGCAGCCCCTGAGTGGCCAAATGCAGTCTTCAGTGAGGAGTGGCCCTACAGGACTTTGGGCTCGGGACTGAAATTCCCCCCCTTGCTTATGCTGTGCACCCAGGTGTTCGATTCTGGGGTGTACGGAGAAAAAAAGGGGAGGGGTTCCTCCTCACTATGTCTAAAGCATTTGACTAATGAATGGACACAAGAACTGCTGATTAAAAAAAGACCTATTGGAGACTTTGATTTTCCCTACTGTTCTCCAGGACTGTAAAGAAAAGCTGGCTACTCTCTGCCTTCGCCATGCCCACCTTGCTGAGGAAGGCTTTGCAGCCACTGCTGGCTGAATCCTCCCAGCTGCCTTGGTCACAGCCCAAGCCTGGAAACTCTGCTTACCTGCCCCCACAGGTAGCAACTGACTGAAGCGAGGAGGGGCCTGGGAGGTTCCGGAGCCCAATTCCAAACAGCCTTCCCAAGCTGCTTACAAGTTTCACAGAGAACAACTGCCCTCAGCTCCCAGACCGCAGCTATGGAAAGCTTGGGGCTAGGCAATGCCAGGGAGAGCCGGTTTTGGTGGTGCATGCTGGTAAGGAGGCAGGGCAGCAATGATAAATGACCTGAGCAGCCTACTTAAAGGGACATCACCTGGATGGCAGAGAAGCTTTTTCTTACCAGGACTAAGAAGATCAAAGAAGAAATCTTCTCGAGGTTTGGCCTGCTCAAGGTAATCGAGGTTGATGGTAAAACTGCCTTGTTGCTCAAAAAAAGTCAGGGCATAGGTAAGACTGAAAAAAATTACATTGTACATACAGACCCCAGAGTTCAGGACAGGTAAAAAGGATAAATAAAGGCCCTTACCAAATTAGCCTTTGGAATCTGGCACTAGAGACTGGGTACAGCTCCTTCCCTTAGCCCCGTTCTGTGTACGAAACACCTCGTCTCAGCTTGGACTAACCCCCTATGAGATCCAATATGGGGGACCCCCCACTTAGTTTCCTAAGGCCCCTCATGACCCATTTGCTCACAAACCCCATCTGCAGGCGCGGTTGAAGGCTCTTCAGATCTCCGAGCCCAGGCATAGAGACCCCTGGCCACCCGGAAACCTGGAAATCTCACATTCGTTCCAGAATTGACGCCTGGGGTATATCCGGAGGGACATGAAAAAAGCTGCAGCACCCCACAGCCAGAACAGCAGCTGCCCGCTCATACCTGCAATCCACGCCTCCTCAAGCCCTCGCTGATACCCCTGCCCTTACCCCTGATTTCTGTCAACTAGTGGCAGAGCTAGCCTCCTGGGATATCCGAGATACATATCCCCCACAGCTGCCCCTGGAGGCTGGCAATATTTCCCCTGGAGGAAATATTTGGACACGGGGGTTCAGACATCTCCCCCACTTGTCTCCCAGGGGCGAGAGGCGGGGCTGTCTTCATGGGTGTCGGGAAGGACTTGGGACATAAAATGGTATTTATCTGACCAGAGCCTGCTGCTGCAGGCCAGACTAGACCCTCCCTAAAGGGGCCCTAGCTATCCCTGCTGCTGCCCGCTGGACTAAGCTACTCTCCCTGCTTCTTTGCTGGCACCTCCCAACACCAGCCCGGGCACCCGGAAATCTCACACCCATTCCAGGTTGGCGATTCTGTGTACGTTCGGAGACACCGGTCTCAGAACCTTAAACCTCACTGAAAGGGACCCTACACCTACCGCCCTCAAAGTGGACGGTATTACAGCCTGGATTCATGCATCTCACGTCAAGCCTACACCTCCACAGGACGACCCAGGACCATCCAAATAAAAGCTTCCACGTACCCAAAATCCTCTCAAGGAGGCCTGATTCTGCCAGGCTTGCTGATCTTTGCCCTGATGTTTATACCTCAGGACTTAACCTGGACCCTAACTAACTTTGAGACTGGGCAAGCCTTAAGGCTAGCCACTGGAGTTCATCCCCTGGATACCTGGTTCCTCCAGCTAACTTTTGACCTGTGTATTTTATACTGAGCAAACCCCTGGAAACTTTTATCCTGTATGCAAATATTCTGAATGATATGTTTGTCCGGGGGGAAAAATGTGTGGGGGGGGCGGCTAAAGTTTATTGTGCTGCCTGGGGATGTAAAACCAATGTCAATGTCTCCTGGTTGAGGGTTAACAAAAAGGACTTAGTCTCTTTCACCCGTACCACACCAGAAAAAATGTCTGAAATCACAATCACTTTTACTGAGAAAAAAAAATCTGACAGGCAATACTTGGGGTTTATAGTTATATGATCCAGAAAAAAAAAGACATAGGGATTCTGTTCACCCTGTGAGTTGTAACACCTCCAATGACCATAGTACTAGGGCCCAACCCAGTATTAACTGACCAGGGCCAATGAGCCCCTGCCGAGGTAGCCCCCCTTTCCAGGGCCCTGGGCTCCACTCCTAGTCCTAAAAACCCTTCTACAACTCCTGCTTCACTGCTGGCAAGCTCTAATACAGGCCAGTGACTGTTTAATCTGATAGTGGGAGCCTTTTCTTTGCTAAATAGTACTGACCCCAGCTTGACACAATCTTGTTGGCTATGCTTGTCAGCAGGACCTCCCTAATATGAGAAAATAGTCTCATCTGACAGTTTATTGATCTATGATGGGTCTATAACACTTGTTTGTTAATTTCTGTATACAGATCCAATTGGTCCTCCAAATTTACTAATATCTCAAGATTGAGATATTTGACCAAATAAGAGGAGGTAGTGTAAGACTTTAAGACAATCCTGAAGCCATTTTTGACAATTCTGAATCCTCTCAGCCTCTGTGCCATAGTGCTTCCCCTCCTCCCCTGGGAACCAAGGACCTAACAGCTACACTTGCACGTACTCAGTTCCTGAACAATTACCCATATACGTATGCTTTGGTTCTGTCCCCTGGGAAACGGGGTCAAAATGACCTCTTACCTCATCTGATCTGGCAACAGCTCTCCAGTCAATTATTGGTAATAGCCCTTTCAAATAAGCCAATCAGAATAGTCAAAGAACAACCCCCCTTGCTTCTGTGGCCCCTTTAAAAGTAGACTGTACCCGCTATTCGAGGTCCCTCGGCTTCCCGAATGCTGGGGGACCCTGTCATGACAGAATTAATAAAATCCTCATGCTTTTGCATCGGCTGTAGTGTGTGAGATGGTCTCTGGGGGCGACTCCTTCTCGGTGTTTGGACGCCAGAGTCCAACAGTTTCTGTTGCTATGAAGAAACGCAATGACCAAAGCAACTCTTATTTAGTTGGGGCAGCTCGCTTACAGTTCAGAGGTTCCGTCTGTTATCATCATGGTGGGACGTGGTGGCATGCAGGCAGACATGGTGTTGGAGAAGTAACTGAGAGTTGTACATCTTACAGGCAACAGGAAGTGGTCTGAAACATTGGGCACTATCTTGAGACCTCAGCTGCCTCCCCAGTGACACACTTCTTCCAACAAGACCACACCTACTCCAACAAGGTCACACCTCCCAATGTGGCACTCCTTTTAAGGGTTATTTTCTTTAAAACTACCACAGAACCCCTGCCACTTTGCTCAAAAAGTCAATCTGTGAAACCAATTCTCTGGGGATTGATTGGGTTTTGGTGAATTGATGTCTAAACCAAACTGCAAGTTGATGTCTGAAGGAAATTTCCCAGGAATGTAGGGTCCACAGCCATTTCTTGGAGCGCGCGCGCGCGCGCGTGTGTGTGTGTGTGTGTCTTTGTTATCAAACTTTCCATGGCCATCTATCTCATAGCTTAACATTCAGAAGAAACTTTTAGGAATATTATTAATTTTAACACAAGAATAAAGTGGTATTTATTTACTTCATACTCTGTATTACTTACTTCTTAATCATAAGAGATTTTAATGAAATCTGTCCCAGGTCATAAAGATGTTTATGGGTGACAGTTCTCTGAAGGACCTCCTCAATGACAGTCACGGTAACTCCAGACACTTCGTTTCTTATTCATTCATTAAACAGATATTTATGTGATACATGGTTGGGCCAGAGGAGCTGAGGCAGGAGCTGATGATATAGTGACCCAACTCAGGTGTGGTTGCTGCTTCCTGTAGATGATTACAAGGCTAGCAGAGTCTGCGCGTGTCCACAGAAGCTCTCAGTATGAGAAGTGACGTATGTCCATCAAATCACCACACCACCAGTGGAGAACTGGAAAGGTTACCAGACCTATGGCAGCTCAGCCATGATGGGGGATTTTGACCCCAGTAGAAGGTCTAACCCATCTTTCTTTCTTTCTTTCTTTCTTTCTTTCTTTCTTTCTTTCTTTCTTTCTTTCTTTCTTAAAGATTTCTGTCTCTTCCCCACCGCTGCCTCCCCTTTCCCTCCCCCTCCCCCAATCAAGTCCCCCTCCCTCGTCAGCCCAAAGAGCAATCAGGGTTCTCTGCCCTGTGGGAAGTCCAAGTAACCCATCTTTCTTGAGTAAATGATTATTGATCTAAGTAGCTAAGTAGAAGGAAGAACTTTCTAGAAAGCAGAGCAGCAGCATATGAAAGGTCTGTGATGGGAAGGAAGATCTATGGAGAGCTGAGGGATCTGTAGAAAATTTAGGTGGCAGATTGGTGAGATTAGGTGTTAGTGTAGCAATGGGAAAGAGCGGGGTGGAGATGTTGTCACCTGAATGTGGTTTTAACAGTTCATGCTAACCCGTACAGTTGATCTTATACCTGGGTGGGTGGCATCTTTTTTTAATATTTATTTATTTATTATGTATACAATATTCTGTCTGTATCTATGCCTGCAGGCCAAAAGAGGGCATCAGACCCCATTACAGATGGTTGTGAGCCACCATGTGGTTGCTGGGAACTGAACTCAGGACCTTTGGTAGAGCAGGCAATGCTCCTAACCTCTGAGCCATCTCTCCAGCCCAGGTGGCATCTTTCAAGAAGGCAAGGGACACTGAAGGAATGAAGTCTCACATTATTGTTTTGTTTCTTTGTGGACTGGGGTTTGGTAAAGGCAACTTGCCTTTGGCCCTACTTAATCTGAGTTGCGCTGAGACAGCTAACAGAGTTATTTAGAAGGCATCCTACCAACAGGCACAGAATGGAGGGGAGACTCTGGGTTGATATGGAAGTCTGTGTCCTGTAGGAGTTGCTCATAGTGGAAGCAGTGAAAATGATTTTTTCCAGGAATGTAAGAGAGGTAGAATCATGGCAGCCAGAGGACAGGAATGAGTCCTGAGGAATCTTACCATGTAAAGTACAGGAAGAGAAGGGGCATGGGGAGGGGGCACCAAGGAGAAAGCTGAAGGCGTTTACTCCTTTCTTGAAAGGAATTTAGTTATTAAAGGTCACCTGGAGGATACCCACTGTTGTAGAGGGGTGGCCTGTGTAAGAGATGAGAGAGGAATGCACCAGGAAGGCAGCCAGGGATGGGCTCCAGCATCCTGACCCAAAGTAGCTCTGTGACTGACATTGTCTCTAAAATGTTTTGCTGTGTTGGTGGCAGAAGACAGGTGTTAGCAGTGGGTACAGAGGTTTTAGTGTTTAGGAGGCCAGTGGGATTTGTTTTGAACTTTCACCTTGTCCTAGTGTGCAGATAGTTGAGTGGGCTTGAACGAGTTGTGGATTTGTGCAGAGCCTTTCAACACCATGAGGGGGTGAACCCGGGAAGGTCATATCCAACATTCCCAACAACTTGGTCACCCAGGGTCCACGATGCTCTGAGCCCAGACTTGGTTTCAATGAAAAGACCCAACAACGGCAACTCTTCTTCTTTTTCTCTCTATTTGCCTCAAAATTCTGCTACGTAGAATTCCTAATTTAAATCGCACGAATCAGCTCTGCCACTGATGAAAGATTTAGCATTTGGGACAGTTTTTGTGGTGGAAACGTTCTGTGGAATGCAAAGTGACAGCTGCCTTGTCAGACAGCTTGATTCCAGCTGCGTAAGCAGTCTGGCCCTCGGACAGGAAGCAGTCACTCTTTAGGCAGAAGGCAAAGAAAAGTCAGTTCCACATTCACGGGTTTGGACCCTGTGAGAGGGTGAGGAATTCTATTTTCCAGTAAGGGTGGTCAGAAAGGCTGCATGCAGTTTGCTCTGTATCCATTTGTACCTTTTTGTGTAAGTGCCGACATCAATTTAGTAAGTATCAGCTGAACGTTTAAGTTCAAATCCTTGTGGAAGAGTCAGTGACTAAACCACAAAGAAACAAGGTGTGATCTATATTCCTAGAGTGCTGAGGAAGGGATGGGTGCAAGTGTGGAAACAATGTGATTTTCTTTTCATGCTACCCGGGGAAATAGTAGGGAAGAGAGGTGGGGGAGGTGATATGTATGTGTGTGTGTGAGTATGCGTCAGTCAGGCAAAGGCTGGAACCGGCCGATGCTCACACAGAAGAATGGACCTGGAAGCGTGGGAAAGAGTTTGCCACTCAGGGATGGGGATGTGCGAGGCAACGGCAAAACCTGAAAACCTTTGGGTACCACATTGTACTTCGGGCTGGGTTTCAAACGTCCGTCTGTGGAGCTGGGCTTTATTTTGTGGGTAATGAGAGCCACTGAAGGTGTTGGGACTGGAGGTGAGAGTCCATGAGGTAGCTGGAGGGTAGGAGCAATGGGGTGGTTAGACAGGAGATGGCAAAACAGCTGCAGGGAAAGACGGAAAACAGGAAGGGAGGAGCCAAACTGAAGTCCAGAGTGGTGGTACCTGCTGTAACAGCATCACTTGGGGGTCTGAGGCCGGCAGGTCCCTGTGAGCTCAACGTCAGTCTAGGCTAGACAATGAGTTCCAGGCCAACTTGCACTATAAAGTGAGACCCTGTGTAACAAAACTAAACAAGACAAGACACAAACAACGGCCACAAAAGACAACAGAATATCGCAAACACACAAATATCGTATTCAGAAGAGGTCAGAGGTTGGTTCAGAGAGCTCTAGGGCTCTTACCTCAATTTATCGCGTCTCTGCCGCTGTTTCTGCTGTCTTCATTTGTGTTGAAAGTTTCTTTCTTTTTTTTTAAAGAAATAATCACACCAACAAATATTTACTCTGATGTCTTCCCCGCCGTTTAATTTTAAAGGACAATTACCCCACCTCCAACCACATTTTATCCAGTAAACCAATGATTAAGTCCTGCTGTTAGAACACTGAGAGTCTAGGAAGGCCTGGGCCAGAAAAAAAAAAAAAAGGCTAATCCAGTCCAGGGTTGTTTGGGAATGCAGGAGGGGTACACTGGTGTACTGTATCGAGAAAATGAAAAGTGGGGAGAGAGGGACACGGGAAAAGATGGCAAGAGCACAAGAAGGAGAGCTGGGAGCAGGTCAGTGTATAAACGGGGAGAGCCAGCTCGCTGGAATCCTTCACTGTGACAGGTCCCTAGGCAGGCAGTCCACCTTCTAAAAAAACCACTGCAGTCTGCCTGCGGGAAAGGAACTGACAGCCAAGATTTGCCGAATGCTATTCTGCAGGCAGGGAGCAAGGGCCCTGCAGCAAGGCCAGCCAGGAATGCGGTGCTGTGCAGAGGGTAAGAAAGGACGAAGGATGGGAGGCAGGATGGGTACTCACTGAGATTCCAGCCTAGAGAGGCCTGGCCACACTGCCACCCCTGGGGGGAGGGGCCTTAGTGTCTTCCCTAAGCGCTTTGCTCTGCAGAGAGCTTGCTGGAGAACACACACTCTCTTTCCCTCTCCTTCTTCCCTTTCCCTCCCTCCCTCCCCACTCCTTCTGACTTACCCACCCCTTTTCCTTTCCATATCCTCTACCTTCTTCAGGAGTTTTCCTTCCTTTTTTATTTTAAATTATTTTATTTTATGTGCATTGGTGTTTTTTGCCATGGGTATCGGGTTTCCTGGAACTTGAATTATAGACAGTCATGGCTGCCAAGTGGGTGCTGGGGACTAAACCTGGGTTTTCTGGAAGAGCAGTCTCTTAACCTTTGAGCCTCTTATTTCCTTCCTTCCTTCCTTCCTTCCTTCCTTCCTTCCTTCCTTCCTTCCTTCCTTCCTTCCTTCCTTCCTTCCTTCCTCTTTCTTTCTAGTATAATTGGCCTCTTAGATGTACGACCTTGGACAAGCTCATGTAGGCCTTAATTTCCTTGTCTAGAAAATTAGAACAGCTCCTAAAACAGCTACAGAGATTCTTAGTGTTGTCTTTTTTGCCTTGGGCCATGACTCAGGCCT